ACGTTGAGAAACACTGAACTAACCCTTTCTTGTCCATCTTTCCAAATGCTCCGGTAGCGCATCGTTCCTTTTTTGCACGATTTTGAAATAATGACCGTTTTTCATACCAAAAAAAAAAAAAAAGAACGAGAGACTTCAAAGCTCAGGTACAGGAAATTCCTCCTGTACATAACAGCATGATGCGCAAGCCTTTGCGCGCATTTTAACATCCACTCCACTCCCGAAGAATGAAACAATGCAAGCTATGCCGGCTGTCCTGTCATTTGTCTTTATTTGCCCGGCACCTCTGATACAAAACCGCATCCTGAAAAGAATACGTGCACGCGTGTGTGCGTGCGTGTTTCATACACTGTCCTTTTTTAAAAAAAACGAGTTGGGCCACATCTGTATGAGATAAAAGGAGTTTTAAAATCAGGGCAGCGGCACCGGGAGCCGAGGAAGGTGAGAACGAACCCACCGAGCGGCAAGAGGTCAGACCCACGGGGCTCGGTCCGAGGGCGGGAAAAGGGGCTTGCAGTGAAACGAAAGCAGAAAAGGAGGGAGCACGGGGGAAAGGTGGCCAGTGTCACAAACACGGAGCCACAGAGAGGGCGAGCTGAGCCAGAAGAAGGGGAAGGCAGCGTTTTCATCCCCACGTCCGGGAAAAGGGTCTCTTCGCCAGGGATCCGTTCGGGGGAAGTCCTTCCAGGGCTTTCGAGGCCCAGCCTGCCCAAATGGTGGGTTATCCCATCAGAAACCCGACGGGAAAGGAATACGTGGGGCCAGCGGGGTCCGTCAGAAGCCCCAAGGACCTGCCGGTGGTGCACGTCCTGAGGTCGCTGAGCGTCCAGCGAGGTCAGGCTGCTCTGCGCTAGCGTCACAGGTGCAGGGCCGGCACGGTGTGGAATAGCATCCTGCGCATGCGCGGGTGCCCCACGGATGCTGCAGTGCAGAGGGGTGAGGGCATGGGGGAGTTTTCCGACCTCCTGTTCCCACTCGGTCCTCAATTCCCCAGAGGGCCGGGGCCCTTCTGAACTGGAGGGGCAAGATTCTTTGCCTTTAGCAAACTCAGCTGAAAAGGGGGGAGCCTTCTGGGGTAGCTGGCTGCGAGGAGGGGCCCTCGCCGGCTCCCACCGTTGGTGGCGCTTTTCGGGCGCAGCCAAAACGCCTTCGTGGCATGCCGCGTGGCCTCTGGCTCAAAGCAAGTCCGTCTTCTCCACCCCGCCCATCCAGCTGTCCCTCCACATCGGGCAGGACGACAGGCGTGGGGCTCGGTGGCCGCGGAGGGGGAG